ATTGTACATTTCACAGTTAAGTGATTCTCACAGAATGCTTTCACTGATTTTTCTGAACTCTTGCAACTTTAGCTAACTTACAATGGCAATTGATGAACAGTACACTGTATAGTTATAAATGCTGTTGATGTTTTAATTTACATTAAGGAGAAAGATGAAACAAATAATGAGATGTATGGCGGGGTTTTATTCTTTTGTCAGTGTCAGGAGTAAACTCTGCTGAATCAGATAAGAGGTTTGGCATGTCCACACTAGTAGAACATTTTCTAAATTTTTGTGCTGTTTACAATGTAATGACTGCAGATATTAACTTTTTTTTTTTTTTTTTTTTTTTTTTTTTTGAGACGGAGTTTCGCTCTTGTTACCCAGGCTGGAGTGCAATGGCGCGATCTCGGCTCACCGCAACCTCCGCCTCCTGGGTTCAGGCAATTCTTCTGCCTCAGCCTCCTGAGTAGCTGGGATTACAGGCACGAGCCACCATGCCCAGCTAATTTTTTGTATTTTTAGTAGAGACGGGGTTTCACCATGTTGACCAGGATGGTCTCGATCTCTTGACCTCGTGATTCACCCGCCTCGGCCTCCCAAAGTGCTGGGATTACAGGCTTGAGCCACCGCGCCTGGCCTTTTTTTTTTTTTTTTTTTTTTTTTTTGAGATAGAGTTTCACTCTCGTTACCCAGGCTGGAGTGCAATGGCGCAATCTGAGCTCACTGCAACCTCTGCCTCCCGGGTTCAGGCAATTCTCCTGTCTCAGCCTCCTGGAGTAGCTGGGATTACAGGCACGCGCCACCATGCCCAGCTAGTTTTTTTGTGTGTGTATTTTTAGTAGAGACGGGGTTTCACCATGTTGACCAAGACGGTCTCGATCTCTTGACCTCGTGATCCACCCGCCTCGGCCTCCCAAAGTGCTGGCGTGAGCCACCGTGCCCGGTGATATTAACATCTTTTAAGTTGCATTATTAGCATTTTCTCCATCACTATATCAAGTGTAGACAATCAGTACAATGATCAATCAAGCCTTGATGGACAGTATTTGTCAATTTCTGCAAACACTTCTACTGTGACTGAATTCAAGTAACAAGTGTGACTTGTGTAAAAATATAATTTCTGATTATTTCCTTAGAAGACATTTTTAGCAGAAACTGGATCACCTTTTCAAAGGAAAGTAATATGTTTGCAAGACTATGATGCATATTTACAAACGGCTTTCAAAAATGGCTGTAACAGGCCATGCACAGTGGCTCATACCTGTAATCCTAGCACTTTGGGAGGACAAGAGGGGAGGATTGCTTGAGGCCAGGAGTTTGAGAGAATGGCTGAAACAGTGTCCATTTCCCCAATCTTGAGTAAGAGTTACCATTGCCTCTGTAACTTCAGGAATTATTAATTTTTCCAGTTTTGTTAATTGGCAGTTTGGAGAGTCATTTTAGACACAAGCATAAGGGAGATCACAGCCCTGATTAAAACCTGTCGGTGACCTTCGTTCCTCCAGCCAAAGCCCTCAGCCATTTCCCCACATAAACCCTAAGCAGACTAAGAATCTCACTTTTTTAGACTTGCCCGAAGTTTGTCTTCAGGCTACAAACAGTTTCCAAGGGCTCCTCTTCCTCTGCTTCTGAGGAAAGTGCAGTATCAGAATACGAAGGAATGAGAATGATGTTCTTAGAATCTTAATATTGGATCGACTTGAACAGATCAATAATTGAACTTTGGGGAAACTTCAATACCTTTCCTTAGCATCCAATTTCTTGTGATGCATATCACAACATTAATTTGTATTTTGTTTTCTAATTTTATATCTCAGAACAATGAAACTCCTTTTTCCCAAATGTCTTAGAATAGGTTTGCTTAAAATAAGACATATGAAATAAATGGTTCATTTGAGTCAGTGAGCAAGCATATATTCCTCAGCTATAAATGAAGGTGATAAACAGTTTCATTTCTGAATACAGAATGGGTCTGTTAAATACTATATTTTTGGGGTGAAGTTTCTTTTAATGCTGTTGGTTGTTTACTTTCTTTGATTTCCAGGGGGAAAGATTTTGAGTGCAGGCGTTTTGTTGAAATCATTATTTAACAAGGCATTGAGTCATGCAGGCAGTAGACTGGTTTGAAGTTGGCCAGGAAGAGAGTTCTTGGCATGGTTGGCACGGCTTTAAAGTGGAGCATTTGAAATGCTGAAGTCCTCATAAGCTGCAATCAGTTGTCTTTGTTTTTTGAAGCAGTTTAATTTTGAAGCACTTTAAGTTTCAAGAATCAGAATTGTTTTTCTTTTTTGACTTTCATCTACATAAGATTTTTTTGTCTTTATTTTTTGAAGCACTTTAATTTTGAAGCACTTTATTCAAGTTTCAAGAGCCAGAATTTTTTTTCTTTTTTGACTTTTATCTATACAAGAGATATGAAGATTCAGAGTCAGAAAGTTTTGTATGTCTTCTTGAGTAACAGCCAACTCCAATCTTAAAAAAACTCTTCTAGAATGTCATAATCGAATTTTAAAACTTCTGAAAATTAGAAGAGAATAGATGAAGTAAAAAAGTAACCACAGACTGGAAAGAAACGTTTGTAACAGGTATATCTCTCAAAGACTTATTTTTAGAATACATAAAAAATTCTCACAATACAATAATCTTAAAATCCAATGAAAAATAGGTGGAAATTTTGAAGAGGTGCTTCAGCAAAGAGGATAAATGAGTAATCATTCAGCATTTGAAAAAATGCTTGATCTGGGAAATGCAAATTAAAATTGCTATTAGATACCACTACGAGATACTCACTAAAACATACGAAATTAAAGAGACTAACAATACTAAGTATTGTTCAGGCAGTGAAGCAACCAGAACTACCATGCATATGATAAAAGATATCTATTAAAACCTTCACCAAATCTCATCCTAAATAAGAAAAATTGAGGAGCATCCTCATTTGAATCAGGAACAAGACAAGAATGCACACTGTCACCACTATTATCTGATGTTATTAGAGAGGTTATAGTCAATAAAGTAAAACCCGAAAGATAAGCCAGAAACGTAAAAATTAGAAACTGAGAAATGTTTCCAGTATTTGTAGATGATGTTCAAGTTCCCATAGATTTTAATATCATGATCTAATAATAGAGATGAGTCCCATAACTTTTACTATATTCTGTTGGCTAGAAGGAAATCTTAGGTTCCATTTGCACTCAAAGGGAGGGATTTATACAAGGTGTGACTCAACAGGGGTCACCTTAGGGTATGCCTGCCCCACTAAGAGTATGAGGGGGCAGTTACCCCTCATCCTACACATAATACAGATGTCCCAGTGGAGGGACTTCTTTATTTGCCTGAACATACACATGCTCAGCTATTGTACTCAAAGTCTTTTACCTCTATCTCAATTTTCACTCTCTGCATTTTCCTTTTTTAAAAATAAAATGTACCAAAGCTCTAGGGTAAAACCTATAATACAGCAAAGAATAGTCTCTGATTTATAAGGGAGAAAATTTAAAAGTTCTAAATCCAGGGAATTTCTTAGTAACTTAAAACATTACACTTTCTCATACAGTGAAGGGAAGTGTTTTGTTGCTTTTACACTGTTTGTTTAGAGTAAATTATATAATTGATTTTTAAAAATGAAAGCAGGCTTCATGCTTCGTGTAACAAATACTAATTGTGAAAACTGAACTATTCCTGGAACCGTGTTCAAAAAGGCTTCATCGCCTAAACAATCTTATTTTATGATTTCAGTTGACTGAAAATGAGGTATAAAGTAATTAAAAGTAACACGATGGCTTGCAGAGATGGGGTGGCAGAAGCTCGGAACACAGAATGTAAAATCGGGAACACCGAATATAAAATCGGTAACTACAAAATGACACAAACACCTAAAGCAATATATTTAAATTATTATTTTTCAAAAAAAAAATGCAGCACTTTAGGAGACTGAGGCGGGAGGATCACCTTGGGTCTGCAGTTCGAGACCAGCCTGACCAACATAGGTTTAGTAGAGAAACCCCATCTCTACTAAAAATACAAAATTAGCTAGGCGTGGTGGCGCATGCCTGTAATCCCAGCTACTTGGGAGGCTAAGGCAGGAGAATTGCTTGAACCTGTGAGGCGGAGGTTGCGGTGAGCTGAGATCCCGCCATTGCACACTCCAGCCTGTGCAATAACAGCAAAAAAAGAGAGAGACGGTTCTTCACCTTCAGATCCTCACATAGCCCCACCTCCCACTTCCCACTAATCAGCCAATTTTTAAAAATTTTATGATTACTATTGCCCACCTTTTAGAATACATTTTTGTTTAGTGGAAAATCAACCAGATAAAGAATAAACCTCTGCTCAGTTGGGCTGGCTGACATTGTTCTCAGTAACTGTTTTTTTTTTTCCTTTAACCTGTATTGTTTCATTCTCCTTTCTTCAAATAAAGTGTCCCAAGAGCCCTAAATTCTCTCTTCAAGTGGTCTCTTGATAGCTAACTTCATCAATAGGTTCATCCAGAGAGCAACCGTGTAAGGATAACAAAGACAACATTTTCATAAAGATAACATTTTCAAAAGTGCTATTAAAGACAGTGAGTTGTTTAGTAATTTAAAAAAAAAAAGTCTTTAGAGGGAAAAATATAGAGAAAAAGTATTTTTCGGATACATAATGTCAGTTTCTTCTCGAAATAAATATACACACGTACTGAATAGGTCCCCTGCCACTGTGGGTCCCAAAACTTTTATCTGTAACATTCCATTTGCCCTTCTCGGCTGTACGGAATTAAAGTCCTTTGAAGATGGCGGCCTCCAATATCCTAATCTGCATGGGTGCGGCCATGCCGTTATCCCGACGAAGTTTCTGAAGAATGAACCACGGAATAAAAGTATGCCATTATACGTCATGATAACTGTTGGCCGATTGTAGCTTCGAAAGTGTTACTGGGCATGCGCTCGGTTCAACAGTGGCTGCATTAAACCTCAAGGGACTCTAACCCAAACCGGAAGTACCCTGGAGCGGCCATTTCACTTCCGTTACGCAGATCTAAGCCTCTGTCGCTTAAGGGACGCTGAAGTGATTGGGAACATTAGCAGCAGGGGTTCCATAGAGTCAGGGAGGGGAAGCCGGCTTGGGGTGAGTGACGAGAGGCTTGTTGGGAGCGGGGGGTGCGTGGGGAAGGGATTTCTTGGGTGAAGACGGGGCTGGGAAGTGACTGGAGATTTTTGACTGAGCGACAGATTTCTGGGGTGGGTGATGGATGCCGTGGAGTAAGAAGGGTTTGCTAATTTTAGTTGGATAATGAGCCTGTTAATTATCCCTCTTTTCTTGCTTATTTTCTGCTTGTATATAAGTGTTTTTGTAACTTAAATGCTAAGTGTACTTTAATATCGGATTTTACATTGGTCCACGAAACTGGCTGACGTGAGGACAGTGAAGTGCGTCTTTAAGAGCGCCTTTGCAGATGGCGCTGGAGGACGTTCAGGGAAGGGATTCACTGTCCCTGGGACTAGGGGAGTCAGTGATAGATTGGGAGCCAAGAACTTCAGGGGTTGGAGGACTTTGAGGATCACACTGTAACACTCTTAGGGGACCAGTGATGGGGGACCTATAGGAATCAGTAGAGTGGGGTTGCCAGGGGTAGCCTATGGCAACCAGTTGACTGGAGACCTAGGGGTCAATGATGGGGATTTGTGAGGGTGACTGCACTGCTTTCTAGCAGTATTGGGGTCCTTCAGGGATTGGTGGGTGGGTCAGTGTTGGCTGCTTCTTGGGTCCCTTGGACATGGTAAGGATCAGTAATTGACAGCTGAGCAGATGATGATGGTTTCTTATTGGGGCATTTCATTTGGACCCTTGTGTTTGGGATTATTTGTCGTTTTGTGGAAACCAGAGAATTGTACTCCCTGGGAAACATTTCTTGGCTATCAGGGCAATAATGATTTCGGAAGCCTGGGCCATCTCAGTGACTGGAAGGCATTTTGTAACTTTTGGTAAGTCCTGTGGTCCACTCTTTAGGGATTTCTGAAAGTCAGTGCTGTCAGAGATGGCATTCAGGTGTAGTGGGGGCAACTCGTGTGGACAGGCAAGAAATGGTGACTGGAGGCCCTGATGCATATCTGCAAATTGTCTGGGTCAAGGTGGGGATTAACACAGTGATTTTATGTTTTAGCTTTGTCAGAAGATACTGAGCTCTGTGGTGTGCTATGGATGGGGACTGAGAAGTCCAGAAGCTCAGAATAGGTATGGCTGACACAGCCACCTCCCAGCCTGGGCTCTATGAAGGCAACAGGAGGAGGAAATGGTGTTTCTGGGAGCTGGCCACGTATGGGTACATGAGCTAGTGGGGACAGTGTACAGTTTAGAACAAGGCAGATGTAGGGCTGATTCCCTGTTTTTCCATTTGCAGACTGACTACCCGTCAGGCAAATTATGTAACAGCACACAGCCTCATTATCCTCATCCCCAAAATGGGTATCATAAAGCCTATTATATTTAGCTGACAGGGTTGTGTGAAATGAAATTGACAACTTGCTTATTTTTATTCATATTTACCACTTGCCAGGCAGGCACTGAGGACCTGACAAGCTTCATCTTGCATAAATTTCCCAACACCTGTGATAAATACCTGTATTCTCATTTTGGAAACTAAAACTAAATTAATATTTTCATATTCTCACAGTGAAAAGGTAGCAAAGCTGCAATAAACTCATCATTTAGTCCAGACTCAGTCTTCATTTCTAACCCTAATAACTAGAGTTGGACTCCACTGAACTTTGTCTATTCCAATGTCTGACACAGTGACTTCACCTCACTGCCCTCAAGAAATATCTGTGGAGTGAATGTAGAATGAGTGACCATGTAGTCATTGCTTTTCCAAGGCTTCCTCCAGGCTGCAGAACCTCCAGGTCGGGCCACGTCATTGAGGCTGCAGGATCTCCCTTCACAGCCCAGCACACCTCTCTGGACTGTCCCTGGTTAGAGAATCCAAACACCTATACAGCTTCTGGCTCCTAGGAAAAGTGGAGTTGTCAGTAAGAGAGACCAAGAGTAGAAGCCCAGAGTGGAGATGCCTGCTGATGTGAATTTTTCCCAAAAGCCTCAGGTCTTGGGTCCAGAGGACCAGGATGGATCTTTTGAGGTAAGTAGGAGCAGCCCTGGGGACAGTTCTCCAGAACATGAGGGCAGACACAGGATGCAGCAGGCTCTGGGCTCCCTGTTCATGAGTCAGTCTTGATTTTCTTGCCAAGGACCACAGAGGGTGATGTTTCCACATTCATAGGCTATCTGTGTTTTAGAGGAAACCATGAACTGGCTGATAAAAGAGGATAGTACAGTGCTCGCCTTGGGTCGAAAAAGAATAAACTGTGATCCCTGGTCTGATCGGAAACCCCAGTCACAGAATGGAAGAGCTGACTCTTTCCTGCTAAGCACTGGCTCCACTCCTTCATCCACCATTGGGTCTCTGAAGAATTTCAAGTGGTCCCCACCAGATTCCTTGCTTGATCTATGGGGCCTGTTCTCATAAGGTGCAGAAAAATCTCCTTCCTTTATAGTTTTAATAGTCACAGAGAGGCAGAGTGAGAACAGGTTTTTTAGAACCATGTGGTTTTTCCTGTTTAAAAAGGTGAATAAAAAATACTGGAAAATAGTGTTTCCAGATTGCCTACAGAGAGAAATAGGCAGGATTTGGGAACAAGAAATCAGAAGATGGTATGTTTCAGTAACCTGTTAAAATCATCTCAACCTGCTAGAAACATTTGATAGTAGAAAGTGCAAAAAGAAGGGAACATTAACACAATGAATTGCACGTATAAATCGTTTTCAACATTGTAAATACCCCAAATATTTAACATTTAAAAGTCATTCTTAAAAGAAAATCTGAAACATACAAGTTTAGGCAGGGTACAGTGGCTCATGCCTGTAATCCCAGCACTTTGGGAGGCCGAGGCAGGCAGATCACTTGAGCCCAGGAATTTGAGACCAGCCTGGGCAACATGGCAAGACTCCTGTCTCTACAAAAGTACAAAAACTGGCCAGGTGTGGTGGCATGCACCTGTAGTCCCAGCTACTCAGAAGGCTGACATGGGAGGATCACCTGAGCCTGGGGAGGTAGAGGCTGCAATGAGCTGTGATGGTGATGCTACACTCTAGCCTGGGCAGCAGAGTGAGACCCTGTCTCAAGACAAAACAAGTTTAAAACATGAAATTGTCTAAGTCTTTGTGACAGCAGTGCAAATGTACATTTATTTGCATTGATGTTGGTCAACTTGCATGTTCAGAACATCTAGTGTTTTAGGACATGTGTTGTTCAATATAAGGTTTTTCCCTTCTTTTAACAATGAAAAATTATTTTTCTGCTTGGCCTGCCAGTTTGTCATTTGAGTCAATACTGCTGTCACTAATTCAGATCTTCCATCAGTGTCTGAATTCATGTCAGAATCTATCCGAGTCCCAGCCACATTGCCTTCTCTTCGTGGTGCGTATTTCCAGCCGCTCTGGGCAATACGATTTTTTTTATTTTTATCTTTTCTAATTTGATGGGGAGAAAAGTATAGTGTTTGAATTTGCATTACTTTGTTAACAAACGGGATTTTTTTCATCATTTTATTGGTCAATTACTTGTCTTTAGTGGGTTACTTTTTCTTATCTTTTGATTTATATTTTGGTTTGGCTTAGCCTCTGGATTTTTAAAGAGTTCTCATATAGTAATAACCTAAGGTCCTTGTTGCATATGCTTATAAATACTTTTGTAACTTTTTCCTTTGAAAGGTTTTAGTTTTATTTGAAATAGAAAAGAGGATCAGGTGGTTTTGTGAAGCCTGTCATCTTTTCAAAGAGCCGTCACTTGCTATATTTTTATACAAGTTCCAGCTCCTCCCAGGCATTCACTTTTTACATTTTTAGCTAATTCTTTTGGCAATTACCTCCTAATCTTTTAGTGACATGCTTATATTGCTCCTTCTTGGATTGTTAATTAACATGTTAATTAATTAAGAAACATGTCATTAAAAGGTTTGCTTTTACCTACTTCCTCATACTCTTTCACCCCCAGGTGTGCATGGTGAATCACACCTGTAATCCTAGCTACTTGGGAGGCTAAGGCAGGAGAATGACTTGAACCCAGGAGGCAGAGGCTACACTGAGCCAAGATCATGCCACTGCACTCCAGCACTCCAGCCTGGGCAACAGAGCAAGTCTCCATCTCAAAAAAAAAAAAAAAAAAAAAAAAAATTAGCTGGATATAATAGTGTACACCTGTGGTCCCAAATCCCTAGGAGACTGAGGCAGGAGGATCGCTTGAGTCTGAGAGGCAGAGGTTGCAGTGAGCTGTACTCTTGCCACTGCAATCCAGCTTGGGCAATAGAGTGAGAGCCTGTCTCAAAAAAAAAAAAAAAAAATTGAGTAAAAGTATTTTTTAGTCCAACAGAAAAGTGAAGAAGAGAGTTGCTTGAGTAGGCTGGTAAACATGGAAAGATGCTCAGCTTCATTAGTCATCTGGCAAATGCCAGTTAACTACCATGCCCCACCAAAATGCATCCAGTTACCAACACTGATAATACCACATGTAGGTGAGGATACAGAGCAATCAGAAAGATTTCATGTGCTGCTGGTGAGCAAGTACATTGGTACAGCCAATTTGGAAAATGATTTCCAATGTTCTACTAAAGATGAACATGTTTTTGCTATGACCCAGAATTCCACCCCTGGGTATATGCCCAACATCTGTTCTGAACTGGTATTTAAATCTAGATCTGTGCTGTCCAGTAATGTGGCCACTCACCACATGTAGCTATTTTTTTTTTTTTTTTTTGAGACGGAGTTTCGCTCTTGTTACCCAGGCTGGAGTGCAATGGCGCGATCTTGGCTCACTGCAACCTCCGCCTCCTGGGTTCAGGCAATTCTCCTGCCTCAGCCTCCTGAGTAGCTGGGATTACAGGCACACGCCACAATGCCCAGCTAATTTTTTGTATTTTTAGTAGAGACGGGGTTTCACCATGTTGACCAGGATGGTCTTGATCTCTTGACCTCGTGATCCACCCGCCTCGGCCTCCCAAAGTGCTGGGATTACAGGCTTGAGCTACCACGCCCGGCCACATGTAGCTATTGAGCCCTTGAATGTGGCTGGTTCACAATGAGATGTGCTTCAAGTATAAAATATATGCTGACTTCTGAAAACTTAGTATAAAAACAATGTAAAGCATCTTGATGATTTTTAAAATGTTGGTTACATTATTACAGGCATCAGTGTCATTTGAGGACGTGACCATGGACTTCAGCAGAGAGGAGTGGCAACAGTTGGACCCTGCCCAGAAGCGCCTGTACCAGGACGTGATGCTGGAGCTCTATAGCCACCTCTTCTCAGTGGGTGAGCACAACTGAGCTGGGAATCTTGGCTGGATCCTATTGAGATTTCCTTCCTCCCAGTTGCAGAACGCAGTGAGATATCAAAGTATGTCATGACTTTTGCCTTGGCTTGTCCTGGATTGTTTGTTTCTTTGGGGCACCTTTTAGTATTATTTTGTGCCCCATGGAATATGTTGACTTTTCTAATGAGCCAATGTAAAGCTTCACTGAATGGCCTCTAAAACTGAAGAAGCCACACCTAAATCCAGTATCCTTTCTAATTAACAGGGTATCAGATTCCCAACCCAGATGTCATCTTCAGAAGGCTAAAAGAAAAGGAGCCTTGTATGGAGGAGGCTGAACTCTCACATCAGAAGTGTCAAGGTGAGTAACTCGTACCCAGGCAAATGTAGGTATCTTTACAGGAAACCATTACCAATCTACCATACTTTTCCATTCCCTCCATTCCACAAGTGGTGACCCATAGGTTGCCTCCTACTCCCAGTTTCTACATCAAACACTGTAAATGTTCTACAAAATTCTAAATGTCCTATAGCGGGTGCCTTAAGAATTTCCCAGAGGTGAATACTCAGGAATGGGACTGCCTGATCATGGAGGTAAGTATACTTGACTAAGTCAACCATATTGCTCTCCTGATGGGACTGCACCAGTCCCATGTGCTATGCACAAGGATCTGCATTTGCGCATCTCGCTTGCTAGCACTTGGCATTAACAAAATTGGTGAATTTATAGCCCTACTGATGGGTGAAAGGGCTGTTTCATTGTTTAAGTGTTACTTTTCTAATAACTGAATGGTGGGGGGGGCCTCTCTTCATATCTGTTATCTGATTTAAGATACATTTAAGATACAGCATTAGGATTTTTTATATTTATATCTTATAAAATATACATTTTATACATTTAAGATAGAGCATTAGGATTTTTATATTTTATATTTAGGATACAGAAATTACTGATTTTCTGAAAATAAGCAGAAGAGAATATTTCACACTATTTTTAAAGGATGCTTTAAATATCTGCTGAGATAAGTTCAAAAGAAAAGAGATTGTATTTGGAGAGGACAGTGGCATTAAATGTTAAAAGCATTAGCCTTTGTGCATGAATCGTGTCTATTTCATGGAAGGCTACTCAAAAAGTAAGTGTATCAAAATGGGAAACATGGATAGCAAATGCTTGTGAAGTTCAGAAAAAATGATGTCAACCTAGAGGTGGAGTGACATTGGGAATTTTAAGGACACAGTACCTGTAACTGATCCACAAAGCCATTTTGAATTGAAACGAAGAAGCAGATGAAGCAAGATTAATGGGAATAGAAGACATGAGAGTGTGCTTGGATTTGAGAAAAAACTGGAACTGTTTTTTTTTTGAGACGGAGTTTCGCTCTTGTTACCCAGGCTGGAGTGCAATGGTGCGATCTTGGCTCACCACAACCTCCGCCCCCTGGGTTCAGGCAATTCTCCTGCCTCGGCCTCCTGAGTAGCTGGGATTACAGGCATGTGCCACCATGCCCAGCTAATTTTTTGTATTTTTAGTAGAGACAGGGTTTCACCATGTTGACCAGGATGGTCTTGATCTCTTGACCTCGTGATCCACCCGCCTCGGCCTCCCAAAGTGCTGGGATTACAGGCTTGAGCCACCGCGCCCGGCCCAAACTGAAACTTTTTTTTTTTTTTGCAATCAGCATTGTTAGGCTGTGTTGAAGAGTTATGGAAAAGCTTTTCAGTACAGTTCTGATGGTTTACATTGAACATTTTGGGCAGTAATTTAAGTGTTATCAGGTTCAGCAAGATTTTTATGACCTGAATGAAGTGAAAAGTTAAAAATGTTTCAGATCTCTGCTTGGGGACACAGTGGAAGACTGCCAATATAAATGACTCCCCTTATGTGGGTAAAATTGCTATTTAAGAGTGAAAAATGAAATAGAAAACAAATAACCTGTTTTAATAAGTGGGAAAAGGATGTGAATAGAGATTTCTTCAAAGATGATATACAAGTGGCCAATAATAGGAAAAAAGGCTCAACATCACTAATTATGTGGGAGATGCAAATCAAAGTCACTGTGTGATATCCCTTTACAATCATTAGAATGCCTACTATTAAAAAAAAAACAGAGTAACACGTGTTGGCAAGGATATAGAGATACTGGAATCCTTGTGTATTGCTAGTGGGAATGTAAAATGGTGTAATCCTATGGAAAATAGTATGGTGATTCCTCAGAAATTAAACATAAAATTACTATATGATCCAGGAACTCCACTTCTGGTTAGATACACAAAAGAATTGAAAGCAAGGACCCAAACAGCTGTTTGTACACTCTTGTTCATAGCAGCACTATTCACAATATCCAGAAAGTAGAACTGTCAATTGACCAATGAACTAGTAAACAAAATAAGGTCTATATGTACAAAGAAATATTATTCAGCCTTAAAAAGGAAGGGAATTATGAAACATGCTGCAGTGTGGATGAATCTTATCATCATGGTAAGTGAAATAAGCTAGATACAAAAAATCCAAATGTACCATTCTACTTATATGAGGTAACTTGAGCAGTCAATTCACAGAAACAGAATAAGACTGTGGCTGCCCAAGGATGAGGGACAGGGGAAAGGGAGAATTGTTTAATGGGTACAGCATTTCAGTTTTGCAAGATGTAAAAGTTTTGGAGATCTGTTGCACAATAGGGTGAATACACGTAGCACTACTGAACTGTACAATACAAAATGGGTAAGATGGTCCATTTAATATTACACAGTTTTTGTTACCATAAGAAGTTAACAATAAAGATTAAAATTGTCCTTTTTTTTTTTTAAAGAATGAAAGATGATTGAGTTTTCTGATAGGATAAGAGTCTGGGATACAGCTTAAGTGACTGAAAGAAAAAAGAAACTACATGTGATGTCATACTTAGTATTAAAATCTGATAGAAAAGTAATAGTAAAATTTAGTAACTATTATTTTTATTGAGAACCTAGTGTGTTTTTTGCACTATACTAGTAAAATGCACAAGATGATCAGGGACTTCTATTCTTGGGGAAAAAAAAACTAAAAAAGGCATATTTGATAGCATAAAGTCAAAAGTTCTAACAAAGAACAATTAATTTCCATGGAAGAAGAGTGAAACAAATTCTGAGGAAGAGGTTGCTTGTCCAGTTTTTCAGAATAGCTTTCTGGGGATATGGGTGTATTCTTAAGTTCATGGAAAAAAAAAAACTGTAACTTCATGGAGAGTTGGGGCATAGTCATTCTTTCACTGGTTGACCATGTCAAGACAGGTGAAGCTTTAATAGTTTTCAGGAGGATATACAGGGCTGATGGGCTTGGCATTGTTTCTTACAAGTAAGATAAAGTAGGGAGACTGGTGAGGATTTGTCTCTGCAAGTTAATGAACACCTACACGCTGAGCCCCATCCTTCAAGTCTTGGCTGTCCAGAGATGGTGCCCTGCAACATTCTTGTTTTATCCCCTACTTATTCGACTAGATCTGGGTGTCTAGACTGCTTGTGTAAGTGTTTACAGGTTGTTCAAATCTAATGCCCACAGTTTAGCAAAGTGATCTTGGCCAGTTACATAACCATTATGTGCTTCCTTTTCTTTGTAAAACAGGAACACACATCATTGCTACCTCCTGAGGTCATTATGCAGATTAAATGAGTATGTGTATGCCATGTAGCCATTGCCTGGCACATGCTAAGTGCTATGTAGATAAGTGCTCAGCATATAATAAAGGCTGTATGTTTCTGCTCATTGTCAACATCATTAGCACCATTATTACATGGACTCAGCAATTTCCTTGTGTTCATTGTCAATCAGCTTATACAATGTCTCTTCTTTCCTGTTCACTGTGTCTATTTCATCTTCTCTTTCTCCTTTCAGAAGGGGAGTTTGGGCTTGAAATCCCACAACAGATTTCTAAGAAAGCGTCATTTCAAAAGGATATGGTAGGTGAGTCCACAACAAATGGTTCGTGGTATTCCATTTTAGAAGAACAGAGGCTGGGTGCTGACCATAGAAAGCGAGATGAGCAAAATCAAATTCAACCCACGAGTCACAGCGCTTTCTTCAACAAGAAAACATTAAACACAGAAAGCAATCGTGAATATAAGGACCGAGGGAAAATGGTTCACACGAAGCCCCACCTTGTTTCTTCACAAAAACCACCTCAGAAATGTTGCCTATTTACAACAAGTTTGAAGCTGAACCTAGAAGTGAATGGTCAGAATGAAAACAATGACACAAAACAACTTAATGAAGTTGTTGGATCTGGTCAGCTATTCAGTCACAGCTCTTCTGATGCTTGCAATACAGGAGAGACATTTTGCAAAGGTAATCAGTGTAGAAAAGTCTGTGGCTATAAACAGTCACTCACACAACATCAAATTCATACTCAGAAGAAACAAGATGGATGTTCTGAATGTGGGAAGAAATTCACCCAGAAGTCACACCTCTTTGCCCAGCAGAGAATTCATAGTGTAGGAAACTTCCATGAATGTGGCAAATGTGGAAAAGCCTTCACCCCACAAGTAAAACTCAGTGTATATCTGACAGATCATACAGGTGATATACCCTATATATGCAAAGAATGTGGGAAGGTCTTTATTCAGAGATCAGAATTGGTTACACACCAGAAAACTCACACTAGAAAGAAGCCCTATAAATGCCATGACTGTGGAAAAGCCTTTTTCCAGATGTTATCTCTCTTCAGACATCAGAGAACTCACAGTAGAGAAAAACTCTATGAATGCAGTGAATGTGGCAAAAGCTTCTCCCAAAACTCAACCCTCATTATACATCAGAAAATTCATACTGGTGAGAGACAGTATGCATGCAGTGACTGTGGGAAAGCCTTTACCCAGAAGTCAACACTCAGCTTGCACCAGAGAATCCACTCAGGGCAGAAGTCCTACATGTGTATTGAATGCGGGCAGGCCTTCATCCAGAAGGCACACCTGACTGTCCATCAAAGAAGCCACACAGGAGAAAAACCTTATCAGTGCCACAACTGTGGAAAATCCTTCATTTCCAAGTCACAACTTGATATACATCATCGAATTCATACAGGGGAGAAACCTTATGAATGCAGTGACTGTGGAAAAACCTTCACCCAAAAGTCACACCTGAATATACACCAGAAAATTCATACTGGAGAAAGACACCATGTATGTGGTGAATGTGGCAAAGCCTTCAATCAGAAGTCAATACTCAACATGCATCAGAGAATTCACACCGGAGAGAAGCCTTACAAATGCAGCGAATGTGGAAAAGCCTTCACTTCTAAGTCGCAATTCAAAGAGCATCAGCGAATCCACACAGGAGAGAAACCCTATGTGTGCACCGATTGCGGGAAGGCCTTCAATGGCAGGTCAAATTTCCATAAACATCAAATAACTCACACTAGGTAGAGACCTTTTGTCTGCTACAAATGTGGGAAGGCTGTTCTCCAGAAATCAGAATTGATTACCCATCAAAGAACTCAACATTGGAGAGAAACCTTATGAATGCCCTGACTGTGGGAAATTGATCAGTAGGAAACCACAACTCAAGGTGCATCAGCGAATTCACACAGGAGAAAGACCTTACGTGTGTTCTCAATGTGGAAAGGCCTTCAACAACAGATCAAATTTCAATAAACATCAAACAACTCATACCAGAGACAAATCTTACAAATGCAGTTATTCTGTGAAGGGCTTTACCAAGAAATGAATTCCTAGTTCATCAGCATATTCATAAATATACTCCCTAAGTTTCTTGAATAAGAGAAAATCTCAGAATTGGGTCTAATTGTATGTTACTGAATTCATGCTTCAGAAAAACTCTAGGAATGCACTGCATGTGTGAACACATGACAAACTCACACTTTATTTTATGTGAGAGAAATTACTGAAAAAATAATAAGCAGAAATGTCCTTCTTAGCACTGGCCTCATTAAGGATTATAAATTTTCATCCTGAGAAGAAACCCGGACTAATGCATTGAGAAAAGCCTTTCTGTAAAGAATGGTACAAGCAGGTTGTTACCAGAAGTAAAGTTTGCAGGAAATTATATTAATAATAACCCTGTTTATTGTGGGATATCAATAGTTCTAAAGTGCCAACAGCGTAATAACAGGACAATATTATGTGTGTGTGTGCTTCATGTATATAACCATATATATCATATACCCCTTCTCCAAAATGCCTGGGGTCAGAAGCATTCAGATACTTACAGATTTTGGAATATTTGCATTATATTTATTGGTTGAGCATCCCTGATCTGAAAATCCAGATGAAATGCTCCAATTAGCATTTCCTTTGAGTGTCATGTGAGAGCTCAAAAAGTTTCAGATTTTCAGTTTTCAGATTAGGGATACCCAACCTGTATGTATGTATATTTATGTATCTGTGTGTGTATATACGTATATGGTCAGGTCAGCATATGTGTATATATGCATATGTATATATGTATATGTATATATGTATGCCCTCAGTGCAGTGGGGTTTGCTGCAGAATTCACTGCATAGCAGGTGTAGGTAGATTACAGTTATTTCTTAAAAGAATCTAATCTAATTGTTTATATTAAAAAATATTCCTTATTGAATATTTCTATCATGAGATTGTATCAATAATGATTAACTCCTTTATTATACATACACATGAAAGTACATTTTTTGGTAAATGCATAAATGAGGTTCTATAATGTTTACTGATCTTTATATTAGAGCTTTTCTCTTCTTTTAGGATGAGCTCAGCTTGGCCCTCCCTTTCCATCTCTATCATCTATAGTGAGCCTCTCCATAAATAACCAGTGCCAACCTTTAGTCTGTTTCAAGTCTCTGCATAATCAGTGCCACCCATTAGTCTGGTTCATATTTTTACACAGGCCCCTAAACATACACACCAGGAGTCAACAAACTGTGGCCATTAGCCAACTATGGCCTACCAACTGTTTTTTTGTTTTGTTTTGTTTTGTTTTAAATAAAATTTTACTGGAATACAGACCATGTTCATTTGGACATGTACTCTCTGGGCTGATTTCATGCTCCATTGGCAGAACTGAGTAGTTTTGGTAGAGATCAGATGACCCCCAAGATTTACTCTCTGGCTCTTGACAGAAAATGTTTGCCAACACTTGATACAAACACACACGCATACACATATATTACTATGCTCATAATTATCTACCTGTGGAAGGACTCTTTCCTTGATTTATAAAACTCAGATCTCTTACATGTATGTGCATGTTTTTTTTCATTCTGTAATCTATGATGGATTGCACACACACATATTCCATGAGGTTGACCTGCCATAATTTATTTAGCCCTTCCCAGTTTTGATTACTTATTTCCCCTCCACACACATACACACACTTTTTTTTGCTAAAAAAAAAAAAAGAGAGAGAGAGAGAGAGAGAGAGAGAGAGAGGACTGTTACAGATATTTCTGAGAAGCAGACCAGCATAATCTTTTAAGGGCACAGGCTCAGGAGCCAGGCTTATGTATTTATTCCTGGCTCCACTCTCTACCCTCTACATCTGCTCAGCTAGTTATTTGGTCTCATCTACAAAAGATTTCTCGCCTACAAAGGGAGACTGTGATAGTACCCAACCCCCATGCATTTGATGTGAGAAGTGGGTATGTGTTAAGTCCTTGGAACTGCACAGGCAGACCAAGTGCTGATGAATTTTAGTGGGACCTTGTATCCCTGAGACTGCCTGGGTTCCCTTGTGCTGGGCATGGGATGGGCGTGGGACTGCAGTGGGAGATTCCAGTCAGCTGGAAGTTCTTTCCAGAAGAGGGAGAGTGTTAGAGACGGGCACCCATAGCTTTAGTCTCCGTATCCCTTCAATGTTGACAGGGGCCTGCACAGCTAGTCAGGAACAGGCACAGGCCTGAGCCTGTGCTGGGCTCTGGAGAGCAAATCTGTTCTGTGTCTAACTGGCTTCTCCCTGTCCAGGGGTGTAGTATCAGTCACCATGTCCCACCTCCTGAGAAAAGTGGAATAGTGACACCTGGGGAGTCCAGGCGCAAGGGCTGGCCAGCCATAGATGTGACTAGTGTGGGGTAGAAAGGCCTCAGAGGCCTCTCCATGGGGGTGAGGGGTATTACTTGGTGTGGGGGGAAACAGCGTGCACCTGGGTCCTGGGAGTGGCACCCTATTCAGTTGCAGGGAGGAAGGTAGCAGGGCCCCAGACAGGTATTGTAAAAACTTGAGCCTACAGTGTAGATACACCGGTTAGAGGTTCCAAAGACTCCTTGGGAGGTGCCTCCCTTCTCAGAGCTGGGCCTCCCCTATTCCTAAGCATCACCTGGGGATCCCACTCTGGGAGCCCCTCCGGCATATGGTAGTGTCGGAAGAGAAAGTGGGGCCAGGAGAGGAGCATCCTGCTTAGTTATACCCTTTCAGGGACATGGGAGGGCATGGAGGCCAAACATCTGTCTCTGACAGGGTCCCCATGCCACAGGCAAGCCCTCCAGTCCAGGGTAGCCCGTGTTCCCTGCGGTCCAGGGTGGCCCATACCTGCCTCATCGTGTCAGGACCTGCAGCCCCTTCTGCTGGGCTCCTCGGAGCAGGGCCTCCCACCTAGCAGCAATGTTGTCGTCATCATCATCCCGGCCCCACTACCTGTTGGAAAAGCCATTCATCTTCAGGTAGTGAATGGGGCGCAGGGCAAACACCCCTCCAAGGTGGCCTGGATTGGGAAGACTACAGAAGCAGAAAGTCGGAAGCACGTTCTACAAGGTCTGTTTCTAGGTGGCCCTTTTCCACTTACCCTGTGATGACCTCTCCCCTGACCCCTGTGACAGTCCCATCTTTACCCTAGGATGTCCCTTTTTCTGACCCCAGGGTAACCCATTGACCCTTGGGATGGCCCTCACCTGACTCTTAGGACATCCCCTCTTCTAAGTCATCTGGCAGGGCCATCTTGTGACTGTGTTGATGGCCCCTTCTCCCCAGAACCCTAGAATAGCTCCTTCCTCACCCCCAGTCACACCTCGCCCATGTTCCCCTCCTCTGAACCCCAAAACAACCTCTCAGTTCACCACTTGATTAAGTACATCTTCTGAGTCTTCTGTCAATAACCACCCCCACCCCCACTTGACACCTATGTCTCAAAGGAAGTTTCTTCACCATCTGTAAGGGTTTCTCCATGTCCCATCACACACTCCCTCCCTACCTCAGCCCTAGGGACCAAGGGATGGACACCTGACTTTAACCTCACTGCACAGATAGGTGGGGTGAGATGCAAGGAAAGGCAAGGCCTGGCCGATAGTCCCCCACAGGAGGTCCCCTCCCTCCACCTACTTGTAGTTGAACTTGTCAATGGCCACAGACACATGGGCAGGGAAGATGTCACAGGTGTAGACGTTGTGGTCCTCTTCTAGGAGGCTTACATCATGAAAGAAGACACAGTCCCAGTCCTTCTCCTGCATAGCCTCCCAGAACCCCACGTTGCATAGCCTGTCCTGGTCGAAGGCAATGTTGTTTACCGGGGGTGGACACAGATGCTCAGAGCTGTCTTCACCATCAGGCAGCAGCGTTCCCCTACCTACTAGGCCAATCTTCTTTCGCCTTCTCAAGTGCCATTCCCCCACCTTGAATGCCTTCTCTTTCCCACTGTGTAGTTGGAAAACCCAGACTTGTCAAGGACGATGCAATGCAAAGGTTACTCCCCTGAGAAACTGCTCTTGTATTTCCCACCCTCATCCAAGTCAAAGTCAGTAACTTCAGCATCTCGGCTTCCCTTCTCTGGCCATCTGCAGTGTTCTCGAGGATCATCACCTCTGAGGGGCCATCGAAGAGAGGCAGAGGTTAGGGATGATAAGGGACCACCTCTGTCTCTGTTTCGGCTCCTACTAGATAAAGACTGGCTCAGAAGCCCAGGAATCCCTATGGGGTTTGCATCTCCTCCTCCCCTTCGTCTATCATCATTATTTTTTCATCATCATCACCATCATCACTATTCATCATTATAATCAACATTGCCGTCATTATCACATCACTGCCTTCATCATCTTCAACGCTGTCAACATAATCACCTCACCTCCACTATTGTTACCACCATCATCACCATTACTTTTTTTTTTTTTTTTTTTGAGACGGAGTTTTGCTCTTGTTGCCCAGGCTGGAGTGCAATGGCGCGATCTCGGCTCACCGCAACCTCCGCCTCCTGGGTTCAGGCAATTCTCCTGCCTCAGCCTCCTGAGTAGCTGGGATTACAGGCACGTGCCACGGTGCCCAGCTAATTTTTTGTATTTTTAGTAGAGACGGGGTTTCACCATGTTGACCAGGATGGTCTCGATCTCTCGACCTCGTGATCCACCCGCCTCGGCCTCCCAAAGTGCTGGGATTACAGGCTTGAGCCACCGCGCCCGGCTATCACCATTACTTTAATCATTATCATGACCGCCTTCATTAACATCACCATATCATTACTAACATCACCACCACCACCACCACCTTGAGTATCACCATCAACATCACTACCGTCATCACGTCAGCAGCAGCACTACCACCATCATTCTCAAAATCATCACCATCGCCATTCATAATCACCATAATTGAAATCGCTTATTGAGTACCTACTATGTGCTAGGCATTGGCCTAACTGTCTTACATTGGTTAATATAAGGCATTCCATTTGGTATGACTCCTTCCGATAATGTAACAACGGAGGTGTTATTATCATCTTTATGGTGAATGAAAACTGTGGCACAGAACATAAGTGCTCCAAGTTCATACAGTTATACTGAATAACAGCATGCTGAATGACTGAATGAATGAATGATTCCACACTCAGACAAAACAGCTAGTAATAGGCAAGGCTAGGATTTAAACAATCCCGTAACTGTCCCCAAATCCAGTATTTTAACTTGCCCCTTAGGTTTGCCGTAAAATCTGGGCAACCCTGGTCTCAAGGAGCCCCACACTCGGCAGGACTGAGCCTTTGCCTCAGACAGCCTTTTAAGCCAATCTCAGAGTTGGCAAGTCTAGACCAAACCTACAATCCTTGGCTCCAACATCCTCTACTTCAAGTTCTTCTTGACTCACAAACTAAGCCCCCCAGACAATATCCAACCCAGACCACTATCACCTTACAGAGTCCCAACTTCAGGCCAGGCGCAACGGCTCACGCCCGTAATCCCAGCACTTTGGGAGGCCAAGGCAAGTGGATCATGAGGTCAGGAGTTCGAGACCAGTTTGGCCAATATGGTGAAACTCCCTCTCTACTAAAAACACAAAAATTATTTGGGTGTGGTCGCATGTGCCTGTAGCCCCAG